AAAATCAACTTTTAACCCAGCAAATTCAAAATCAAATAGAACCGTGGCACAATAATTTCTTCTCCAGAATTTAGCAAGCTTCTGTTATCAGTCTCACACGCAGTCCAGCAAACAAAACAACAATCACAGAGTCTCAAACTGTCCAATAGTTGTCCTTGAAGCCCGTCTTATGATCTTCCATTAACCCCTTGATTTATTTATTTATTTATTTATTTATTTTTGGACTTATATACCGCCCCATAGTGCTACAAGCACTCTCCGGGCGGTTTACAATTTCATTATACAGGCTACACATTGCCCCCCCAGCAAGCTGGGTACTCATTTTACCGACCTCGGAAGGATGGAAGGCTGAGTCAACCTTGAGCCGGCTACCTGGGATTTGAACCCCAAGTCGTGAGCACAGTTTTAGCTGCAGTACAGCGTTTTAACCACTGCGCCACTCCTCAGACCAGTCGACCACGTCAGCTCCTTCTTTCTTCTCCAGAAAACCACCAGATTCTGTTAATAACAGTTCACAGAGTCCAGGAAAAGGCAAAAAGAAATATGTCCCAGCCAAACTGCATTCACGAAACTCAAGTCTCTTAGATCCTGTTCGATGGTATTGGAACCGTCTGGGATTCTTTTCCAGAAACATAAGATTTATTTTTCCGTCTCACTCTCTTGGCTTTGAAATCAGCCTGCTATATTAAGAGTTCACTTGGGGAGGAGAGTTAGTTTTGCTTTTGAGGCAGACTGATAAGATAGGCTCGCCGCTGCTTTTCTTCTTTCAGCCAAATATTTTCATTCTTATTTTCAGCTTAATGGGGCTTCAGCTTTCTTAGTTGTTATATATTTTAAGCTTATATTGGTTGTTCTCCTCTCCCCGATAAAGGGTTACTCACGGCTCGGTGCCAGATGTGGCGCCCGCTCCGATCCGTGCTGGGTGATTTATTCAGAGGGAAGAAGTCCGGGTTTGCATCCTTTTCTTCTCCTTCTGCTGCTCACCATCTGCTTTAGAGAGACTTCTCCTAGACTCTCCTTGGATCCCCATTTCAAAAAGGGGATCCCGGACTGGACGGTTCCAGTTTTTCCAGAGAGAGCTCTTCTCAGGAGCTACTGGCAGCACCGCAACAAAGCCCTGCCTCTCTCTTGGAGGATACACTTATAATGGCTACCTTTATAGCAACTATAATCATTCACAAACTAGTACATATTTCTGGCTTCTTATTCTGTTTTGTTAATCTTTTTTTACAGCCAGAGTTCTGTATTTCTTTTGTTAGGTGGCATTTTGGCTTATTACAAGATAGGCTCTCTCTCTGAATCTATGTTCTCACATCAAAGAGAAAAATATTCAACAAACGCTCCATAAACCATGGTTTATGAAGCATATGAGGATAGATCTTAACAGAACGATTGAATCTTAAATTGGATTAGAAACCAGTATGCATAAAATCAGAATAAGCTCTTTATTTCTGTAAATCTTTATGGTCTGTTCTCATTGTTGGGTTTTTCTAAGCTACATTCTGGTCGACACATCTACCTAGCTTTTTTGTCTTTAGGAAATGTAGAAAAGAGCATGAAAGAGGAACCACACGTTGCATCTGCTACTTTTGCTTTTGCTCAAGTGGATACCCCAGGCAGAGAGTATACAAGGGTAAGTATGCAAGAAGATAGCTAGACGAAATAATAGGTATTTGAGAAAAAGCATTTGTAGTAGCACCATCATTGGCTGCTGGTTCATTTCCTGTTCCAATTCAGAGTGCTGGTTTTGACCTGTGAAAGCCTGTTTGGGCCCAGGCTATCTGATAGGATGTGTCTCCCCATATAACTCTCCTCAAGTCTTAAGATCTTCTGGGGAGACCGGCCTCTCAGACTTGTTACTTTTACACGTGCATGTGACAGGGACCCAAGGATGGGCCTTCTTGATGGATGCCCCCAGGTTATGGAATGCTCTTCCCTGTGAACCCAGGCTGAACTGCTTTTTCTTTCAGAGACAATTGCAAGCATTTTTGTTTTCACAGGTTTTTCATATTTAATATATCTAGATGCCTTGTGCTTGCTGTCCTTATATCCTTTTAATGTGTGTATGTTTTTAATGCTTTTGCATTTAAAAATCTTTTTATAGAGTATGTTTTAAAACTTCTATGTTCTGTAGATTTTTAATTATCCATATATATTGTTTTAATTTTTAGTTTGTTCTAATGGTCTGTGAGATGCCTTGAGTCCCACCACCTGGGAAAATAGCACTATGCAAATATAATGAACAAATAAATAGAGTTATAAAAATATTGTACAACCATGTTATATGTGTTGCAGGACTAAGATTGTTATTCATTTTCAGTCATAACTAGAGATGGGGTATTCATATTTGTTTACGAATATGAACTCCCCCCCACAGATGGACACAACGAGGGTCCCGCCCACTCACCTTCCACTGTTGCTGCAAGCTCCACGCTTGCTATTGCTCTGGAGCTCGCAATCTGCGAGCCGCTCTTTGACCCTGCAGTGAGGCTTGTCCTCCTGCCAGGAGTGGCATGCAGACCGCAAGCTCCGGAGCGATAGGAAGGGAGTGCGGAGCTCGCAGCAACAAAGGAACATGAGTGGCCAGTCCGACACCAGGGGGCTGGACTCTTGCTATGTCCACCTGTGCTGGGGTATACGAATACCCCTATCCCTACTCATTACCTTTCTCAAGACGGATATTGTGGGAAGTCCCATATTTATTTAGACTGCCTTTAGACTGAGGAATTGTATTTGTTTTAGGATGGAAAGATAAGTCATGGCATTTCTCAAGATCGGTATTGTGAGGAATGCAATGTTGTTGTTGTTGTTTAGTCATTAAGTCGTGTCCGACTCTTCGTGACTCCATGGACCAGAGCACTCCAGGCCCCACTGTCTTCCACTGCCTAACGGAGTTGGGTCAAATTCATGTTGGTAGCTTCAATGACACTGTCCAGCCATCTCATCCTCTGTTGTCCCCTTCTCCTCTTGCCTTCACACTTTCCTAACATCAGGGTCTTTTCCAGGGATTCTTCTCTTCTCATGAGATGGTCAAAGCACTGGAGCCTCAGCTTCAGGATCTGTCCTTCCACTGAGCACTCAGGGTTGAGTTCCTTCAAAATGGATAGGTTTGTTCTCTTTGCAGTCCAGGGGATTCTCAAGAGTCATCTCCAGCACCAAAATTCATAGGTATCAATTCTTCGGCAGTCAGCTTTCTTTATGGTCCAGCTCTCACTTCCATACATCGCTGCTGGAAAAACCATAGTTTTGACTAGGCGGACCTTTGTCGGCAAGGTGATGTCTCAGCTTTTATAATGCTGTCTAGGTTTGTCATCGCTTTCCTCCCAAGAAGCAGACGTCTTTTAATTTTGTGGTTGCTGTCCCCATCTGCAGTGATCATGGACCCCAAGAAAGTAAAATCTGTCACTTCCTCCATATCTTCCCCTTCTATTTGCCAGGAGGGGATGGGACCAGTGGCCATGATCTTTGTTTTTGTGATATTGAGCTTCAGACTATTTTTTGCACTCTCCTCTTTCAGCCTCATTAAGAGGTTATTTAATTCCTCTTCACTTTCTGCCATCAGAGTGGTATCATCTGCATATCTGAGGCTGTTGATATTTCTTCCGGCAATCTTAATTCCATCTTGGGTTTCATCCAGTCCAGCCATTCGCATGATGTATTCTGCATATGTTAAATAAGCAGGGGGACAATATACAGTCTTGTCATACTCCTTTCCCAATTTTGAACCAATCATTTGTTCTAACTGTTGCTTCCTGTCCCACATATAGATTTCTCGGGAGATAGATAAGGTGGTCAGGCATTCCCATTTCTTTAAGAACTTGCCATATTTTGTTGTGGTCCACACAGTCAAAGGCTTTTGCATAGTCAATGAAGCAGAAGTAGATGTTTTTCTGGAACTCTCTGGCTTTCTCCATAATCCAGAGCATGTTAGCAATTTGGTCTCGAGTTCCTCTGCCCCTTCGAAATCCAGCTTGTACTTTTGGAAGTTCTCATTTCCCCTACTGCTGAAGCCTACCTTGTAGGATTTTGAGCATAACCTTTAAGTATGTGAAATGCTAGCAACTGTATGGTAGTTGGAGCATTGCCCTTCTTTGGGATTGTGATGTAGACTGATCTTTTCCAATCCTTTGGCCACTGCTGAGTTTTCCAAGTTCGATGACATATAGAGTGTTGCACCTTAACAGTGTCATCTTTTAAGATTTTAAATAGTTCAACTGGAATGCCATCACCTCCACTGGCCTTGTTGTTAGCCATGCTTTCTAAGGCCCACTTGACTTCATTCTCCAGGATGTCTGGCTCAAGGTCAGCAACCACACTATCTGGGTTGTCCAGGACATCCAGATCTTTCTGGTATAATTCCTCTGTGTATTCTTGCCACCTCTTCTTGATATCTTCTGTTTCTGTGAGGTCCCTACCATTTTTATCCTTTATCATGTCTATCTTTGAACAAAATGTTCCTTTAATATCTCCAATTTTCTTGAACATATCTCTGGTTTTTCCGTTTCGATTATTATCCTCTATTTCTTTGCACTGTCCGCTGTAATGAGAAGAACATCTTTCTTTGGTGTCAGTTCTAGAAGTTGTTGTTAGTCTTCGTAGAATTTGTCAATTTCATCTTCTTTAGCATCGGTGGTTGGTGCATTAACTTGGATTACTGTGATGTTGAAAGGTCTGTCTTGGATTCATATTCAGATCATTCTATCTTTTTTGAGATTATATCCCAGTACAGCTTTCTCACTCTTTTGTTGACTATGAGGGCTACTCCATTTCTTTTACGGGATTCTTGCCCATAATAGCAGATACAATAATTGTCTGAATTCGCCCATTCCCATCCATTTTAGTTCACTGATGGCCAGGATGTCAATGTTTATTCTTGCCATCTCTTGTTTGATTGCATCCAGCTTACCAAGGTTCATAGATCTTACATTCCAGGTTCCTATGCAGTATTTTTCTTTGCAGCATCGGCATTTTCCTTTCACTTCCAGGCGCATCTGCAGCTGAGCATCCTTTCGGCTTTGGCCCAATCACTTCATTAGCGCTGGAGCTACTGTTCTTGTCCTCTACTCTTCTTCAGTAGCATGTTGGAAGCCTTCCGACCTGAGGAGCTCATCTTCCAGCATCATACCTTTTAGCCTTTTATTTCTGTTCATGGGGTTTTCGTGGCAAAGATACTGGAGTCGCTTGCCTGTTCCTACTCCAGGTGGATCGCGTTTAGTCAGAACTCTCCACTATGACCTATCCATCTTGGGTATCCCTGCACGGCATAGCTCATAGCTGCTCTGAATTACTGAAGCCCCTTTGCCATGACAAGGCTGCAATCCGTGAAGGGGAATGCAACATAATATATAGTAATTATGAATAATATATACTTTTTCAGCTAAATCGTTGCATCCATATACTAAAGCATTTTTTCTGGCCAATTTTGATTAACATTGGCCAACATCCTTTTAGTTCTACCTGTAAATGGAGAACAAACAGCATAACACTTGGAAGAGAATGCTGCATTAAATTAGCATAGACATTATCTGTTTTGTATCAAGAAGTGGATGTCAAAGTGTAACTAATAATGTCTGCACCTCCTTTTTTATTAGCAGCACTTGGCTGCCAAAAATTATGCCATTTGCTTTATGCTGCCATAAAATAACAATAACATTTTAGCCATTGGAATGCTTTTTCACGCAGGGTAAGTTCAGGTTTGTTACAGGATATTAAACATAATATCTTATTTTTCAAACTTTTAGGAGAATCTTGAAGAAAGAAAAGTTGGACACGAACACCCTGATATAGAACCTTTTGTCTTGAGCATAAGCACAATTGCGTCTGCTATTGCAAATGCTTCTGTTAGCGCAGAACCTTCACAGCTAGCTGCTTTGATGATGAAACTCTCAGATAAACACAGAGAAGGAACAGATATTCCAGACATTGGCAAACTCACAGATTTTTCAGTCCTCAGTCAGCTATTATCCAGCAATATAGAAAATAGTCCATTTGATATTGAGAAATATCTCAGAAGAACTGGTGAAACTGAAAATGACAGCAAGTCCGAAAACATTATTAAACATGAAGAAACTACCACAGATGGTCACAAATTGTTTGAAATTTCTAATGCAGGGGACCTCAGCAAGAACAATTTCAATATCAAGTATGGAAAAGAGAATCAGTGTATGGAAAAAATACTCGAGGAAAGTGGCTTCAAAGAATCCCATTGTGATATCAGTTCTAAGCAGAAAAAAGAAATGGAAAATACTAAGGCACCATGTAATACAGGTGAAAGTTTTCAGTCAGAGAAACTGGCTTGTGTACCCAGCTCAAAAGAAGAATTATCTGAAAATGCTAACCTCCCTTCAGAGGCTAGTGCAACAACGGTTCCCAGTGAGTTCTAATTTTAAGAATTGTTCCCTAAACATTCACAAACTAAACATAAAATACAGTTTTACAAGTGACACAAAGAAAAGCTTAAGATTATTGAATAAACTTTTGGAAGTGAGTAGTGTGATTTATAATAGGAAAAGTAAATCTTTGATAAGTAGATAATAATTCCTTGATTTAGTAGTCCAAGATACATGTGTTCATATCGTAAATGAAGTGTTGGCTTGTAAAGGATGTACATGTTCAATTGAAATCTACAATTAAGATATGGTCTGATCTCTCCCTCTGCATTGCTGTTGTAGGAGACTTTGCCAAAGAATTGTGTAATATTCAAAATGATGTGTTCCTATTCTTGTGAATATGAATGATCACATAAATTGAAACTCTGCCATCTTTTCTAGCCTTTGCACAAAGGTTAGTAAGGTGAAGGATATGAGTGATTGGAAGGGATAGGAAGATTTCTGATATTTATACTTGTCAGTGTAATACTTTTCCTTTCCTGGAGAGTACAGACATGCCTGTAGCGACCTGAGTGAATCCAAAAAGCTATATCTGTATATGTGTTTCCGAGGAATAGTCACCTGAAAAGCTAGTTACAACTTTGGTTTAATATATGGGTAGTATTATTTCCATTCCAATTACTCCATTTGACTCATAATTAATCATTATTTAATGAGATGAAGCATTTTTGAGATTCTCAACCCTATATAACTGATATAGCAAAAAGGAAATAATCATCCTGTGTAAACTTTTTTCTTTATTTAGCTTATAAAAAAAATGCAACCAAGAACATTCTTTCCTTCAATTTAATGTCTTTTCCAGTATTAGCATCCCCTCTTCCAGGATGTCTCAACAAGGAAACAACTATGCATGAAGTTAAATACCAGCAGAAGCAAGATGGAAAGGTCTTGAAAAGGAATGCTTCATGCAGCAATGAAAAACATGTGACTTTTGAAAATGCATCTCCTGATAGCAGGGATGCTGTTGGTGAGTAAAAATACAGTTATGTCAATTTATTAGTCTCAAATATTAGTCTCAAACAAACCAGGAAAAGGATGGGGGAGTCCACAGCTAAAACTGTGCTCACGACCTGGGGTTCAAATCCCAGGTAGCCGGCTCAAGGTTGACTCAGCCTTCCATCCTTCCAAGGTCGATAAAATGAGTACCCAGCTTGCTGGGGGGGCAATGTGTAGCCTGTATAATTAAAAATTGTAAACCGCCCGGAGAGTGCTTGTAGCGCTATGGGGCGGTATATAAGTCAAATAAATAAATAAAATAAATAAATAAGTAATGGCTAGGACATCATGAATTAAAAGCGAGGAAGGAATAAACAGGAATGCATGCTCAACTCACCTGTAGTCCCTACTTGCCTCAAATGGAGTTTTAATCTGGTACAGCTTTGATTATGAAATTAGCCTTATTGTTTCTGTCTTATGTTTTGCTTGGAAGATGTTGTTGTTTTTTAAACAGTACTGTCAGTAGAACTGCATTAAAGAGAGATGCATTTTTTCTGCCATATATAGTACAGATTATCTTGGATTAAGCTATCTTTCAGGATAGAGTTTTCATAGTGTAATGTACGACAAGCATGAAACACATTGACAATTTCAGTAATAAAGCAGCATTAAAAACTAGCTCCCAGAAAAGGAGCCACAACTAAGGCAGTCTTTAATGTTTGGCAACCTTATAGATTGTAATTACTGTACGGGGAAGATTTCTATGACGTGTCATGTTTTTTTCTGCAACCTCTGTTTGAGTTTATGGGTGGGTTTGAACATGTGGGAAAGGCCAGGTTACTCATAAACATGTTTGAATATGCTTTTAAGTTCAAACGTAGCTTGCAGACAAATACTTAAGGTAGAAAAATCTACAGTGGTCCCTCGCAAGACGAATTTAATTTGTTCTGCGGTTAATGTTGTCTTGTGAAAAATTCATCTTGCAAAACGCGTTTTTCCATAGGAATGCATTGAAATCTAATTAATGCATTCCTATGGGCAAAAAAAGTCAGAACAAAGTCAAATTTGGTTTACAAAGGATTTATTAAGTGCTCTTTAAAGCCATACATATTGTGCAGATAATTTTAAAAATTTCAGTCAAAAAACTTTAACTTTTTAAACATCATAGAAATACATTTAAAAATCAGCAAACATGAAGCAGGAACAAAAAATGGAAAACATTTGTCTTGCAAAGCACAACCATAGGAACCTTTGTCTTGCAAGTCATCAGTCCCATTGCCAAAACCATTTGTTTTGTGAGTTTTTTGTCTTGCGAGGCATTTGTCTTGCGAGGCACCACTGTATTTGAATTCAAGGCACTTACAGCCTTAAAAGGCACATTAAACAAGCAGAGAGTACATCTCTTAAAATATCAACATTCTTAAAAGTAAAAACGTATGAAAGTAAAAATGATTACTTATTTCAAGCATACTGTATGAGCACACACAGAAAATTAATAAGTTCTCTAATTTCTCACCAAGACAGCTTCCAGTTTGTATCTGTGGAGCAAAATCCATGTTCTCTTTGGTGGTGCTAATACAGCATGTTGTTTTCAGCTGGCATGCTTTCTGTATGTTAGCAATTCACTACCAGACCAATTTTCTTCAATATGAAACATGTTAATTAAAGTTTCTGAGGGAATCTGTATTGCTTTTATTACCCTTGCAAACTCATAATGAAGCAACTCATTTTTCATAGGTTTTGAAAATCTTTTTTGGGAAGTTCTTCCTACAGATTTAGATAGAAATAGCCCCCAATTGTCATTCTCTCCACAACCAGCAAAAACAGCATGAATGAATTCAACTTTTCCCCCAAATATAAAGGTGCAGCTGTTCTATTAACTGAACAGAAGCTCTCAACTCCTGTTCCTGGTGTGAAGATTTCAGACGATGAGCAGCGCAGCTTCAGGCCTTCAACATCTCCTCTTATCCATTCATCTCCAAGTGAAGCTTCAGAAACTGCTCTTTCAGGGTAACAAATATGAAGAACATAAAAGCAGAAATGGGGATTTGGATCTGGAGTGAAAATAATACAGATCAGGGTGGGCAAAGTTTGGCCTTTGGGCCACATGCAGGACCCCAGGGGTATTTTTGTGAGTCCTTATGCCTCCCTAGAGTCCTCCATAGTTTCCTGGAGCAAAAAGAAGGATGCAAGAAGAAAAGGTTTTCCTGTTCGGAAATCAAAACTGGAAGTGTCTATTGAAACACTTTAGGTTTTGTCACCCCCTCCCCAATATTAAATGGTCATTGTTTACCACACCCAGGACTGGTCTGGCTTTTGGTGGATGCTGGGGACTAAAATTTGTTCCCCAGACCTAACCAAGTTATCTACATCCAATCTAGATGGAGATTTATAATACTATTGAGTTGTTTGTTTCTAATGGCAACACTTCTCTGGCATTTCGGGCAGAGGTCTTTTCCATTACTCACCAATATTGTTATTTTAACCATGCTGCCAACCATTGAATATGAGATGTGGTCCTTTATTTGATCATCCTTTTATCATATATTAAGAAAGGTTGCTTCTCTCCTGTACAAGACACCTTTAGTTTTACTAGTTTAAAAAGTCATGTAATAAAATGTACCCCTAGAAAATTATGGAAGAAATACTGTATAAAGTGGCTTTATATGTATAAGAGCCTTGTGGCACAGTGGTTAAACTGCTGTACTGCAGCCAAAACTGCTCACAACCTGGGGTTCAATCCCAGGTAGCCGGTTCAAGGTTGACTCAGCCTTCTATCCTTCCGAGGTCGGTAAAATGAGTACCCAGCTCGCTGGGGGGGGGGCAATGTGTAGCCTGCATAATTTACTTGTAAACCACCCAGAGAGTGCTTGAAGCACTATGGGGCGGTATATAAGCAGCACGCTTTGCTTTGAACTTTATATATCTTGAATAATTTGAACTAAAAATTGAGACATTGCTGCTGTTTAATATAATTATGCACTAGAAATCCAGTGTAACTTCTGTAAAGTGAGACTTGCAAAAAGAGTTGGAGTGTTGTAGGCTAGGAATGAGACTTTGTAGTTGTAATAGATAAAAAGCAACACAAAAGAGGCTCTCTTTTTTCAGATTATTTTGTTCATTTTTGAAAAAAACTGAAATCTGAATAATTAACAAATGAGAAGAACTCAGAAATTTTGGATTTCATTTGGATTTCCTCATTTAGATTACCTTCATTTGACCCACATATGTAAAATTTCCTCACTGTTTCTGAGGTCAGCTAGCATCTTCTTTTGCACCCCAAAGGGTACTCATGTGGTTTGAGAAGAACATATTGATGTGAGTGGCACGGGCACTAACAACACCCTTTCATGATTGTTGATGATTTGATAACAATGATGATGAAAGTTAGTGGTGTGCTGCATAGATCTGATGATGATCAACACCATGGTGATTTCTCTTTTTCATCTGTACTGTTTCCTGCTGAGGCTGAGAAGTAGTGATGTGAAGATAAATCTGAACTTTAACATTTGCTAACAGTTACAAAGATCTGATGATGGTTCCTTTTTCTTCCTCACGTACTGTTGTTGCTGCTTGCCCTAGAAGTAAAAAAATTGGCTGTCGCCTTGTCCTTCCTTTTTTGGAAGAGTTATGAAAATTCTGTAGGACTTCATTTGGTCTAAGCAGCAGAAACAAAGTGGGAGGACCTGGAAGAGCCAATTCCTTGTGTGTTTAATGAGAGGATTGAAACCTTTATGACCTGAAAACAAATTGAGGAACTGGGCTCAGAAGTGAATAGATAGCCAGTGCTTCTTAAACAGAATAATATGCTGCAGTTGCTCAGCTGCAACAAACATCCTGAAAGCTTCCCAAGGAGTCTATCAAGGCAGCTCTGTAGACAGATTAATCTGAATCAAACTCATGAGTAATGAAGGCAAAGTCTGCCATTCCTTAATAGAATTGCATGTGACATGCCAGCCTGAAAAGGGCACACCTAGCCATCATTGCTGTCCATGCTCTCCAGTGCCAGATCTAGAATGACCCACAAGCTCTACAGATAACATAGATGTAAGTGAATTTTTAAAATCTTCCTTATGCTTTCTTACTTAGATCTGATTGTCCTTTCACAACACCTAATTTTAAGGAATCCTCTTGCAATGATAAGATGTTACCACAAACAGAATATAATGATCCTAGTTTTAGACGACTGACCTTCGTTTCTGCCACTGAAAAAACCCTAACTTTGTGTAGTCCAGAACAATGTCGAGTAAGTAGGTTGCTGAGTGCTTGACTTTTAAATGCAAACCTTTACATCTGTATTTTTTTTTTGCAGCCAAACCTGTTTGTGAATTATTTGCAGCAGTGTAGATAGCGTATTGACTTCGCTGGCATCATTTGCCATGAATATTATTTCTACATGAACACTGAGTTATGGCTCACAGTTTCATTATTTCCCTCCCTCATATCTACATTACATTGGCAGGGCTGATTGACAGTGATATTGCGACTCTTGCACCTAAACATTACAGTGGACCCTCGACTTACAGACGGCTCGACTTACAGACTTTTCGAGTTACAGACTTCTCTGGCTGCAGAATTTAGATTCGACTTGCAGCCGGAGAATCGACTTACAGACCAGAAAAAACCCAAAATGGAAGAAAAATAGAATAAAACCCGCCGGTTATGGGATTAATTGGTTTTCAATGCATTGTAGGTCAATGGAGATTCGACCTACAGACTTTTCGACTTGCAGCCACCGTCCCAATACGGATTAATTCCGTAAGTAGAGGGTCCACTGTAGTAGCACTTTTTCTTCCACTCAGCATACATGCTTATTGCAGCTTCATGAGATTCCTGGAGAAGTCACTATCTTGGAAGCACTATAAGATTGCTGAGTGAGAAGCTCAAGTGAAATATCCACTCAGACAAAGAGTTAAGAGCAACCACTATATTAGCTGTTTTACTTTTTCTAATTAGAAAATAAATTTATTTAACACAGTATTATTTCTCCATTTAAAATATGTCACTAGGTACATTCAGTATACCAGCCAGTACAACATTCTCACATGAAAGAGTAGGCTGCTCCCATGTCTACTGATAAAGGCCATTTTATTCAGGTGAACTTCTGGCAATTGACTGGTTGCTAGGGAAGAGACTTGTAAACAGATGTTAATATATTTTTTTATTATCATACTTAAATTTTTTTAAAATTCTGTTCTCAATACTCTGATTTCATTTTGCTTTAACATGATCTTTTAACTTTTTTTGTTCTGTCTTTCTAGTTAATCTTTTATTAAGCTGCTTTAAGTCTCAGTTTTGAGAGACAGGATCAAGAAAATAAAATATTTCCCTTCTTGAAAAATAAATCAGTTGTGTACTGTTTAAAGTTACTTTTGCCTAGTTTTCTTAGTAAATTTTTAATATCAGTGAGAGATGTATATGTTCTGGATCTTTAATAGATACTTGTTTGCGGGTATGAAGACAACATGTTCTCAGAGGTTAATATTTACATTGCATCAGCAGATTGATTTTAATGTATAATACATTGTTTTCTTTAGAAGGCAACTGTGTAAAAATATGCAGATACCTCATAAGATTGCTAATCTTAAAGTTACCGCAAACTGTGAATACTAATCAAAATGCTAATGCTTTCTATTCAGAATAATCGTGCCAGTGAATTGAGCACAACAATAGTTTGGACCAGTCCAACTTCGTTATTGGAAGGGGATACTGGAAAAAACACTGCTTTTCAAAATAACAAGCAACCTTCACAAATCACGAGCACAAGGAACTATTCTCAGAAGCAAGAAAGAAATGAATCTACATATTCAGTTGTACCAGAGGACCAGAAATCAACAAGAGAGTTTCAACAAAAAAGTGGAGATCAGTCTAAACAGAGTTGTGGAGATAATACTAACCGTGGGCAGGTTGATACACCTGCAGGACAGCATGACTATGCCTACACAGCACACAGACCGACTTTATTCTCTCTAAAAAATGTGCCTGCTTATAATGATTTATATGGCTGTATTTCATTAAATCAAGACAGAGCAGATTTCAAACCTCATGGTGCTACTTCTGGAATTCCTACCCTGCTAACGGGATGCTCCCTTAGAACAACTCCATTTGCCCAACAGTATCTAGGAAGCTTGCCATCTCACACAGGTGTTGCATTACCTCAGTACCATGTTGGTTTTCCTTCAACTTTTGGTCTTCCAGCAGGATTGATTTATTCTACCATTCCTTTGGGTCACATTCAAAACTCACTAACAACTGGAATGTCATTAAGTTCAGATGTTAGGCCTGGAGTATTGGGTACAGCTTCCGATCAGAATGTAACAACCAGCCAAAATGTCTGTAATAGTACATCACGTACAGGGAAAGCATCTGATGCTGCTGGACCTAGACAATGGGAGGAATCTGTGCCATTTGGATTTGGTAAGTCATTTTTAACAGTTTATCCAATTGGGATTTGATAATTGTCTGTCTGGAAAATACTGAACAGTGTAGTTAGTAAATCTGCTTATTTGTATGAGAAACATTAAATGTGTATATATATGTTTGCCTAGACTCAGAGTTAAATCTACTGTTGATCCTGCATAAAATGTGAAATGAGTGGTAGTTACTAGTAACAAATCAGTGATTTCCTGCTGGGACAGTAACAAAACATTCTTTAAAAGCATACAAATATGCAGTTAGCCACCGACTGACTATTATTATACTATCCAGAGTTCTTTTATAAACACTTAAAGACTTCTAAGATGCTGTTATGTACAACATTAAATCATTATCCTAAATAGTTTTTTAGATTATCCCAGTCTAATCGTTTCAGTGTGTTTGTGCTGTTTTTGATTAAACCTTTTAAAGCAGATGAATTCGTAGCATCCCAGGAACAAAACCTGTATGACATTTTCTGTATTTCAGGTTTATATGATTCCAAATATTTGAACAAAACTGTATTGTAATGCTTGTTACACTTTTTAAAAATGATATCCAAAATGGAATTTTTGTTGTCATGTTGTCAGATAGAAGTATACCATTATAACATTCTCTTAAGGTAGTGTTCTCGTTCCTCATCTTGGAACCCTCCAGATGATTTGGACTATAGTGCTTAGAATTTCTGCCCACAGCTATGTTGGTTGTGGATTGTGCAAGGTGATTCCATAGCTTCTGGAGAGCATTGGTTGAACATTACTTAGCAAAACATTAGCTGAACTAAAGGTTTTGCTTGTTGAAAGCAGGCATGGAGTAGATATGAAGTTTCTAACTAAGTTTTCATTTTGATTATTATGACTGTAAAGGATTAGAGTGATATTGAACACTCCACTTTTAGAATTGGTATCTTTTGCTGGCCAGGGTTTTCCATTGACACAGTTGATTTATTTGATTTTTTCCCCAGCCCATGTAAAAGTTCCTGAAGAAGTGAAATTCCCTAATGCTTGTTGTGTAGGACTCACGTCACACACAGTCCTTCGTATTCTTAATCCATCTGAACGGTGGCTTCAAGTCAGCATTAGCTTACTCAGTATTATGTTTAATGGTGAAAAGGTATGTACTAAATCTTGCCATCTATTAAGAAAATTGGTTGTCTTGTGAAAATTAAAAATGCTAGTACAGTGGTGCCTTGCTTAGCGATCGCTCCGTTGAGCAATGAAATAGCTTAGCGATGGGGTTTTGGCCATCGCCAGAGCGATCGCTTAGCGATGGCCCCTATGGGGAAAAATCGCTTTGCGATGATCACAGGGAAGCGATCATGGAAAAGCGACCCTTTTTGCACAGCTGATCGGCGGTTCCAAAATGGCTGCCGGAAAAACAAAATCGCCACGCGCTGTTTTGCCTCGCTTTAGAGGCACCGAAAATGGCCCCCCCTATGGAGGGTCTTCGCATAAGGTCAGTTTTTAAGCCCATAGGAACGCATTAAACATGTTTTAATGCGTTTTTATGGGATTTTTAATTCCGTTTAGCAATGAAATCGCTTAGCAATGTTTTTCCTAGAACGGATTAACGTCGGTAAGCGAGGCATCACTGTATTTTTTTCTCACGTGCTGCTCAAAGTTTTTGAAAATTAAAAAAAATGCTAGTGTTTTTTTTCTCACATGCTGCTCAAAGTTAATGAAAGAAAACCAGCTGAAGAAGGTGCGTTTTTCTCCCTGCCAATCAAAATACTGGAGAGTTCAGATTTCATTGGCTGAAATTTTATTGTGCACAAAAAGGCATAGCTTTCAGTGGCAAATTGCTGTTAAGTTAAAAAAATCTCAGACATTATTCATTGTATACTGAGTCATGTAACACAGTGGACAACAGATAATGCCTATTAGCCTTGATGCTCCAAAAGCATTCGATAATGTTAGCCGGCAATCTATGATACAGCAGTTGAACATAATGGATGTGGGAGAGATGTTTATAACTGTAATTAAGACAATATATAAGAATCAAACAGTGAAAATAATTGTGAATGGACTGAAGACATTAAGATTAAAAAAGGCAGAAGACAAGGATGCCCCCTCTCTCCTCCGCTGTTTATATTGACCCTGGAAGTGCTCAATAGAAATGAGACAGGATCCAGAAATTAAAAGAGCAAAAATAAAAGGTACAAGCTACAAGCAATTGGTGTTTATCTTAGAAGATCCACTGGAATCAACACCAAAATTAATAGAAAAGATAGAGGAATGTGGAGAAGTATCAGGACTGAAAATCAACAAAGAAAAAAATGGAAGTTATCACAAAAAAATCTAATAGCAAAGCAAAAAAAAAAACCCATTTATCGGAAATCTCAGTTACAAATAGTCAAAAGGGTCAAATATTGGGGACTATATCTAACTGCAAGATATACAAAATGAAGTTTAAAAATATACAACCAATTCATAAAATATATTATGTGGCTAAAATATACAAAATGCTTTTTAAAAATGTACAATTGTTTCATAAACATATTATGTGGTTAAAATATACAAAATGTAATTTAAAAAGTGTACAACAAATAATTAATTGTGTACTGGTTGAAAAATATGGGGAGAATCAAATACAGCATTTTTATAGTTATCCTTTGAACCATTGGATCATCTCGGGTTAATTTGCCAAACCATCAAATAAGACAACTATGTAAAATAACTTAAACAAATAAAATCAGACTTGGAAAACTGGAAGAACTTACAATTATCAATACTAGGAAGGATAGTGACAATTAAAATGTGTATCTTACCAAAACTACTTTTTTTGTTCCAAACAGTACCAATCAAAATAGAAAAGAAATATTTTGAGGATTTAAATAAGATGATTCTAAAGTTCATTTGGCAAGGGGAAGAGGCAAGAATAAAACTGAAAATGCTACAAGAACCTAAAGAAAAAGGAGGATTTGGACGAACAGACTGGGAGTTATATTACCAAGCATGTACTTTAGTTTGGCTTAAAGAATGGATCACTTTGAGGAATAAAGGACTGCTCTCTCTAGAAGGACATGATCTACAATTGGGCTGGCATGTCTTTTTATGGAATGAGAAAGCCAAAACACATAGATACTTTCAAACTCATTATATTAGAAACTCACTACTGATAATGTGGGAAAAGATAAAAAAGAAAATGTACATAAAAATACCTAGGTGACTTTCACCTATGGAATCATTTGTGTATCCAAATCCCGCACATTTTGAGTAAATTTTATGCTATAAAGATATACTAGATACAGAAGGGAAATTAAAACCAAAACAAGAGTTTATTGCTCAGGGATTAGGCTTGTCATGGTGGCCACTAATGCAGATTCAATCTAGATATGACAAAGATGTTAAAGATGGCTTTTACAAAGAACAAATACCGCTTGAACTAAATATTGTTAACCTCCTTAAAAATGTATAGATTTTAAACCAGAACTCTTTTTATTCGGTATTTTACCGGAGGATTTTGATAAATAATCAGTTTACTTAACACTGCATATTGTGGCGGCAGCTAGGATTGTGTTTGCACAACATTGGAAAAACGAAGAAATACCAACAGAAGAAGAGATAATTAAGATTTTAGACTGTGTAGAAATGGATAGACTTAGACTGAGAGAGAAAGAAGATTCAGAATACTTTAATACGTGGAATTTGTTCTATAAATGGCTAGAAGATTGGAGAAGGGATTAAATCACCATGACGCGAAAAAGAGATAACTTTAAGCAAACCCATGTAACACGATGTTTAACAAGCACGAATGTAGATATAGTGAAAAACTAAAAAAATGTTTTTTTAAAAAAAGATAAAGCCTGCAGAATTTTCTTATGGCAGTTCACTGCTAAAAATATGTCTTTAGTGTAACTGCACAATAGGATTTCGGCCATTGTGTCAGTGTAGTGGAGACTTAACTAGTCTTCATTTCTACTTCATAAGGATCCCTATTTTTTGTGCTGTGCTAGTGATGTGTTCTGTTTAAGAGCAACCATCACGGTAGCACTTAGAGTAGGTAATAGAAAAGCAAATAAATATTTAGAGGTGGCAAAAACATAACTATAATACTCTAATTATTTGGCAGAGTAATTTATACCTTGAGAATATATATATTACTCTTATTTATGTTGAAAATTTCTTGGCTTGTCCTGAATGTCTTTTATCTTTTTGTAGGTGGAACCTCAGAAACACAGATGCCTTCTGTTTAAGAACAAAACTGTCATTGGACCTTGTACTACAGAAGAACTAAAAATGCTGTTTTTGCCGTGTCAAGCAGGAGTTTTTCAGTGTGTACTTAGTGTTGCCTCTTGGCCATTTTCTGCAGATGCAGATACAATAGTCCAGGCAGAGGCTTTAGCTGCTAGGGTAATTGTGAATGCAGTTGCTGAAAATCCTGATATAGAGGTAAAAATAGAGATGAATATATCATTTGTTTCTATTTGTCTAAAACATTTTATATCATTAAAAATAAGCAACATAGAAAAGCACAATTTAAGGCAGTTGGAATTATTCAGTGTTCTAAATATGTTAATATATTTTGTTGGACTAAAATTTATGCCTGCTTCCTAAAATACAATGTTGGCACTATTGATAACAAGCCTCATCCCAGAGTTGGTGTTTAGGGATGGTTATTGGCCTGTGGCCTTGTTGGTGTTAGAAGAAGCACCTCCTAGTATTGGAGCTGCAAGCGGACTCAGAAACTGAAATGCCCGTTGACATTCTTTTATAGCAGTGGTCCCCAACCTTGTGCCTCCAGATGATCTTGGACTTCAACTCCCAGAAATCCTGGCCAGCAGAGGTGGTGGCAAAGGCTTCTGTAGTTCAATAACATCTGGAGGCCCAACGTTGAGGACCACTGTTTTATAGGATTGATGGTCAGGGTCTTGACAGGCATTGTATTTTTCACTAGCTGAAGTTTTCATAGACAGTCTCACATACAACCTGCTGTACTTATCCACAAAAATGTTACCAGAACATGGGTGACTGTCGCCAGGCAGGCAGTTTAGGAGAAGATGCAGTTGGAGTCTTTAGTTAGTTCTTTCAAAAACAGTAACTTGTTTCTCTGTACAAACACGGCTTTGTATCCCTCAGTTGTTAAAAGATACTGTTCCCTCTTCTTTTTTTTACCTTAGGTGGAAGCAGGAAAGTCAAACCATCTTGACTTTGGTGATCTGCCATCTGGTAGCTGGAAAGTTCTCCCACTGAAACTGACTAACAAGACTTGTGCTAGAGTGCCAGTCAGACTTGTTATTCATGCAGTAAGTATAGTAAGCTCTAGATAAGGATAAGTTGCTGCCATAGATTTCTGAAAGGACTATGTTGACATCACAGCTCCTTGCAAAATGATAAAATAAGTAAACTATCACCATTGATTCGAGGTGAACAAATGGTGATAGTTGGGTTAACCTTTTATAGTCTGTTACTGAGGCATGTTGCTGTGTATCCTGCTGTGTTCCTCCTCAGTGTGCTATTCTTACCTCAAAACAGGTATTTTACAAAACAGGATTACAAGGCTTATAGTCTAGTAAACTTTGCACATCAGATGTGTTAGAAACCTTCTTAGTGCCATTTTGAAATAATTTTTAATGTTTTAAATGTATTAAATGTTTTAATTATTAAATGATTTTAAATTTTTTAAATCTTGTTTTAAATGTTGTAATTGAACGAATTATTCTTCATGGTCTTTGTACAATCACACACATTGATCTGCACCAATACAGAACTCTGTTTAGACCCTTCTAGGAAGAGAGTTTTGGTGATAGTTATACACTCCTATCTATAGTGTGTGTGTTGGTGGGTTGCCCCTCAATTCTGTTTCATTTGCCCCTCTGGCCAGTAGTAGGACCTCGAAAAGAGAGTCTTTTCTGGCGGTTTCTTTCTCATTTTATTTCATATGTTTTTTGCTTATCTTTATTCTTGTCATCAAATTTAAACTTATTTTAGTACATTTTGCCTCTTTTTCCTTAGGCCTTAGAGGGGTTTAAAATATTATTCTATCTCTATAGGGGAATATTTTTGTTTCAGGGAAGCATGATAAATGGATTAGACTGAGGGTTGCATTGTCTAGATGTATAAAATTGCCTGGGCTCCTCCTCCTCCTTTATTAGCCAACTAACATGAAGTGTTGAATAAAGGCCTTCCCTTTTTTGCTTCCACAAATTTATGTTTTGTACTCTTCTGATACATGCTGATCTTTTAAAATCATCTAGCCATCTAGTTTTTGATCTTCTTGTACCTTTTCTTCTGATTCACAGTCACCATTGATTTAGCTATTCTGTCACCCATCTACTAATTTCAAGGCGTGTTCTATTGTCTTCATTTTAACAATGCTATTGTTTTTTCACAATGTCTATTGTTTTTGTTGAATATTTGGTTTTATTACTTTATCTATTAGTCCAGTATTTAATATCTGCCTTTCCATTGCTCTTGAATTATTGTGAGCTTTTTCATTATGAATTTTTTTAGTCCAGGTCCCTACACACACACACACACACTGAAATACCAGTGTTCTCCTCAAATGCTTGTCTTGAAAAAGCCAATCTTGGCCATAGACTCAGTAAAAATGGTGTACATAAAAACACCATTCACCTATTTCTGTCATTATTGCCTTCTTCTCTGGGAGAAAAAGTGTCCTTTGGCCCACCTGACTACAAAACCTGCCACATAGACTCCCTGTTTTAAAAGGCATGTTCAGCATCTGAGTTTGGTTGTAACACCAACAGGTTTATCTTGGTCACTGCTAATTCTTCTGGTGGGACCAACTGGCCAGTATAATGGAACATCTGATAAACAGAAGGTTACATTTATTTATTTATTATCTTATCTTATCTTATCTTATCTTATATT